CCATGAGTCTTTAGATTCCACATATGAGTGATCTCACATGGTATTTTTCTTCCTCTTTCTGGCTTACTTCACTTAGAATGACATTCTCTAGGAGCATCCATGTTGCTGCAAATGGCGTTATGTTGTCAGTTTAACATATATTTTTAACTAGAGTTCTGTCTTTGACAAAGAGCTGTGATTTATCAGGTAGGAGCCTTGTCCCTATTTCAGAATGTCAGAGCTGGAAGAATATTTAGAGACCATCTATTTCAGTATCCTCAGATGTTGGGGGCTCTGATGCTCAAAGTAGAGAAGAGCTGGCCAGAGTCACACTGTCAATACCTGACCTGAGACAAAAGCCAGCTGGACCACTTATGTATTCTCTATACCATCTGCATGCAGACATTTTTGAGCATTTCCAAGAGTAAGATTCAGTCTTGCAAGATTGTATGTTTCAAGGACTTTATCCATTTTTCTAGGTTGTCCAATTGATACCATATAATTGTTCATAGTATAATCTTATGATTATTTGTTTTTCTATGATATTGTCTGTAACTTACACAGCAAAGCATGTTAACTAAACAAAAAGGCAACCTACTGAATGGGAGAATATAATTGCAAATGCTATACCTAATAATAGGTTAACATCCAAAATATTCAAAGAACTCTTACAACTCAACATCAAAAAAAAATAACCCCATCAAAAAATGGGCAAAGCACCTGAATAGATATTCTTCCAAAGAAGACATGTAGATGGATAACAGGCACGTGAAAAGTTGTTCAACACCACTAATTATCAGGTAAATGCAAATAAAAACCACAATGAGATATTATCTCACACCTGTCAGAATGGTTATCATCAAAAAGAAAAGAAATAACAAGTGTTGGTGAGGATGTGGAGAAAAGGGAACCCTTGTGCACTGTTGATAGGAATGTAAATTGCTAAAACCATTATGGAAAACAGTATGGATATTCCTCAAAAAAGTGAAAATAAAACTACCCCTTGAATCTGCAAATTCTACTCCTTGGTATTTATCTGAAGAAAATGAAAATATTAATTCAAAAAGATATATGCACCCAATGCTCATTGCAGTGTTATGTATAATAGCCAAGATACAGAAGCAACCTAAGTGTTCATCAACAGATGAATAGATAAAGAAGATGCATTGTGTATATATATAAAATGGAATATACTCAGCCATAAAAAAGAAGGAAATTTTGTCATTTGCAATGACATGGTTGGAGCTAGAGGGTATTATGCTAAGTGAAATGAGTCAGACAGAGAAAGACAAATACCATATGTTTTCACTTATATGTAGAATGCAAAGATACAAAACAAATAAATATAATGAAACAAAGACAGAATCACATATATAGAGAACAAACTAGTGATTGCTAGTTGGGAAAGGGGTAGGGATAAGGGCAAAAAAGGTGAAGAGGATTAAGAGGTACAAACTACCAGTTGTAAAATAAGTATGTCACAGGGATTATAGTCAATAAGATTATAACTTTGTATGGTGTATAATCTATTAAGATATTGAATCACTGTTGTACACCTGAAAGTAATATAATGTTATGAGTCAACTATACTTCAATAAAATGTAAGAAATAAATTTTTCATCACAACCCAATACATACTTAACATATTTCACCTGTAAAAGTTTTACAAAACAATACTGAGATACTTAGTGATTAGAGCTGTATGTCAAATATTTCCAGCTCCCCATCTTCTGGCACATTGTAGAATTACACTTTATTTTACTTTTATAGTTACTAATGATCAGGTGATGTATATGGTCAAGGACATGTGAGCAAAATGAAATGGGTCATTTCAGGGGGGAAATTTTAAAAGCCAATGCACAGTTCACAATATTCTATTTTCCCTGATGCTTCAATCATGGCAGCACAGTGAGTATAATGTAAAGAAGAATACCCAGGAGCTCTCTGATAGGCAAATAGTGAGAGTGAGAAATAAATTTTTGTCCTTTTAAGACACTGATATTTGCAGTTTTCTTTTTACCATGGCATAACCTATCCAATGCTGACTGATATAAATACCTAGTTTTAGTACATGATCTGTATTCTGATATTTGGTATCATTTTATTTTGTCCTATTTCAGTTTTCAATGATAGTTGCAATCTACTAAATTGATTTCATGTCTCAGTAATGGGTTGCAACTTATAGTTTGCAAAATCCTACTATATACAGTGTCCACTTGTCCCATAGCTAATCCTCTCTCCAGGTTTTCTTTTTTACAGTAATGTTTGTGACTCCCATTTCTCTGCAGGATTGTGGTTATGGAGAAGGTGGAGATGCATACTGCACAGTCTGCCCTCCCCGCAGATACAAAAGCAGCTGGGGCCACCATAGATGTCAGACTTGTATCACCTGTGCTGTCATTAATCGTATCCAGAAGGCCAACTGTACGGCTACCTCTAATGCTGTCTGTGGGGACTGTCTGCCCAGGTGAGCCTGCTATATGAGCCCAATCTATTCAGGCCTTCTCTAGCCCTTTTACGTTTCTCTCAACCTTGCTTCTCAGAGCCTAGTTGAAGTATTCTAACTCTCCATATCATGATGAGTTTACGCTCCCCTGAGACATAGAAGCAATATCTTCCAAAGATCCCCCTATAGAGTGCCTATCATACAGTCCATCACAGATGATTACTAAACAATGTTTTACAGGTCCAAGTTTCAAGGTAAATCTCACTGTAGACCTAAAAGAGATTAGGAAGCCCTTGGTGTCAAAGCAGTGTTCCCCTCTCTTGTGAGACTGGTTCTCCTTTTGGCTGTAGAGTTTGGTGAATGGGGGAAGAGGTGGAGTGTCTGGGACTTTGAGTCAGACATAGAGGCATAGAACTCACGCAAGGCTGAGGTGGGTGCTAACTTCTAACCTGGAAGGCAACACTCTTAGAAGCTGCCTATGTTTCAGGAAGAACCAGTACAAATATATTGCTCATTTGATCACCTTGCCATTTTTTATTGCTCTGACCACAGATTCTACCAAAAGACACGTATTGGAGGCCTGCAGGATCAAGAGTGTATCCCGTGCACAAAGCAGACCCCCACCTCTGAGGTTCAGTGTGTGTATCTGATTCTCTTCTCTCCTTTCCTCCTCAATCTGCTGGGTGACCCCCTTGTACTCCTTTCTGTAGGGTAGATTGGCAAGGGAATTGGTTAGATTTGAATCTTAGTTTCCAATCTGTGTAACCCTGTGCAAATCATTGAAACTCATTGAACTTCATTTCCCTCATCTGAAAAAAAAAACTCATGATAATCATTTTTCTTTATATCTTATGAGATGTTATCTAGTTCTAATGAAATTATAAATTTAGAAAAACTTTATAAATTATAACATTATACACTTGTGGATTATTATTATTATTATTGTTATTATATGAGGTTTATAGTAGTCCCTAGTGCTTAAGACTAATATAAGGCTGAATGAAGTACTAGGATCTAGTCTATGCCCATATCACTATCTATTTATAAGTCTATCATTTTTGTCTATCTACCATGTATATGTCTAACCACTTATTTTTTAAATGATTGATATGTTTTTAAAACATGAAATATTTCAAATATGTAGAAATATTTTAAATGAAGAAAAATACAAAAATAAAAATGCCCAGTTACATGACATCAAGAATTAATAAATCTTAAAATTTTGCATATTTTCTTCAGATTTAAAAAAATGAATATTCCACAAGCTTAGTGGCATTCCCTTTTTGATCCTTTCTGAGTTCCATTCTCTCCCTACCTCCCCATTAGCAACCACTATCATGAAACTGTATGTCTCTTGTTGGTAGGCTATGCTACAGTAACAAACCCCCAAATCTCAGTGATTTAAGGCAATAAAAGTTTATTTTTCACTATGAAAAATTCTTACTCCATCTTCTAACTGTACCATCAGACCATGTGGCTTCCAGGTTGATGGGACAGGGTAAAAGATGGAGGAGACATACTGCCTCTTAACTACTGCAGTCTGTATGTGGCACACATTACTTCTACTCATAGCCCATTGGCCAGATGTACTCAGATGGCCTTACTACAAGGGTGTTTGGGAAATGCAGGGAAGCATGTGGATAATTGGTGAGCACTATGACTCTGCCATACTCTCCACCTATGTTTTGATACTTGTATTCTTTTGTGATATAGGTATATATCCATAAGCAATATCTGCTATTATTTATATTTTATGTTTTATATATAAGTACTTGATACAAATATCAAGCTATATACTCTCTTTCTCCACTTTGCTTTTCCCCTCTGGATCAGTTATATTCATCCATACAGGTCTTTTATTTTAAATGCTATATAATCATATTATCATCTATATGATATTATTATATATTACATTACAGAATTATATCATGATTTATTTATCATGTGCCCTACTGATGAGTATTTTAGTTTGTTTCTATTTTCCTAGGTTATATAACTAGATGTGACATAGAAAGATCATAGGATATGTGCATCTTCAAATAACTGTGCTAATTTATACCATACTAGCAGTATATGAAAGTTTCTCTACTTTATTCTTTATACTTTTGCCACAAAGAAGTAAAACTAGTTTAGCAGTCCTAATTGAAGAAGACACTAGGGACAGGATGTTGGTCTGAGAAAGTACAGGTCCAGTGTCAGGGTGACTATTGACTACCTACAATGACTGACCTCTCCCACTTTCTTGTCTCACAGGTGCCTTCCAGTTGAGCTTAGTGAAGGCAGATGTACCCACAGTGTCCCCTCAGGAGGCCACACTTGTTGCACTGGTGAGCAGTCTGCTCATGGTGTTTACCCTGGCCTTCCTGGGGCTCTTCTTCCTCTACTGCAAGCAATTCTTCAACAGACATTGCCAGCGTGGTAAGGGTAGCTGCTTCATGTATTACCTGAATCAGGATCAAGGCTCTGACTAGCAGAAGAGAGACATTTTCTGGGGCTGAGAGTTAATGAGGCTTCCCTACAGCCTGGAAAACCCCAAGGATGGACTCTCTAGGGGGTGGCAAAAGAAAGCATGAGACTTCAGAGATGATTGAGGATGATCCTGTGAGTTTATAGGACTGATTCATTAAGGTGTAGGGGTTCATAAAGGAATACAACATTATGGGAAAACCGTTGGGAAAGGAATCTGGGGACCTAAATTCTAAATCCACTTCTAAATCATTGTGTAACTTTGGATAGGTCATCTAGCTTCTTTAAGCCTCTTTCTCCTTAATCTTTAAAATGAGAGAGAAAGTTGATTTCTGAGTCCTTTTACAAGTCTTCATTTCTACTAACAGCTATAGATTCTGGAGCATGTCAGGAATGGAGGAAGGCTGGCTGAAATGAGACACGACTCTAATAAATATGAATGAGGTCTAAGGCAACAGTTATCAGTACAATAACAACTGAAATATAGGTAACTGAGAGTCCAGTGTCCAGAAGAGTTGGCAAGCTTAGACATTTATCCTCAGAAAATAATTATACCCAGAGAGGTCTGGGCCAGCCCATAGGACATGGCCATGTGAAATCTTAGATTGAAGGTCATATTTAAAGCCCGGATTAATATCGGGATCTGTTTTCAGCACCAACTCTAGCCATTAGCCTAGAATGTGGGACAGAAAGTCCAGATCACTGAGGGGAAAGATGGGGAAGGTGGGATGCTGGCTGGCCAGGATCAGGCAAGGGTTTAGATATTTAGTCAAGAATACTGAGGCTCAGTGCAGCTTCATTGCCATCACAGGAACTGAGAACTAGGCAGAGACACCAAAATAAGGACCGAGGCTAGTAAGTGGAGTTGGTCTAGTAAGGAAGAAGGAGGATATATTTTACTGGATATGCAGGTACTTAGAACTCCTCTTCAGCCCATTGGATACTTGACCCAAAGCAACACAATTTTTTTCAACCTCTGTTTGTGTGGGAAAATCCTTCTTAAGTAGGCCTGCCTTGGCCAGTTTGGCTCTAGTGCCTGCCAGATGATCTTCAAAAAGCCTAGCAGATATGTTTGGCTTAAGTAGAGGTGAATCTAGAATTTCAGGGAATGCACGGCACAAGGGGAACACTGTTGGACCTTTATGACCCTTCTCAAACTCTACTTCTCTCTCCTCTACTCGTTGGCCTGGAATATTGTGGCCAAGGGTGGACCAACCTGTCTCTTACTTTGGAGGCTAGTTTCTCAGATAAGAGCTATTGCCCAGTCCCTGGGCATGGGCATGAAACATGGGACATGAACCATTTGGGCCCCAGGGCCCAGAAAGAAGAAGATGAGGCAACATCTGTGAGATGCCTGTCTCCTTCCTCCTGCCTCAGGAGGGGAGAAATGGATAACCCTTCTCTGCTCCTCCTCTGTCCTCAAGATAATATTGCAGTACCCTTTTCTGGGAACACAAGGGTAGGCAGCTCCCTCAGGGTCTCCATAGGAGAAATAGGATTAGACATTTTTTCATTTAGGGAAGGTGTTTGTCAGGAGTCACTGACTTACATGCATACTGCGGTTGTACAAGTGAGATTAATATGTGAATTAGACCCAGTATAAAGTCCAATAGAGAGGAATAGGGACTGTGGCAAACTAAATAGTTCATCCTCTCTAAAAGGGGAATCTACTACTAAGCAGCTTCAGCTGTTTGTTGCCATGTGGGAATATTGAATGTTTCATGATCTTCTGAATTTTCAAGAGAAGCCAAAAATCTGGATTTTTGTATGAAATAATATTGAGCTCTGACAATGGGTTTTAATTAAAAAAACACAACCACAATATGGGGATCAAACCAACATGCATTCCATAGTCTTTCAGTTTGTAACCTGATAGTGAATCAGACTTATGCATGTCTATCACTGTAATAACAAATTACCACACATTTAATGACTTAAAACAACACCTACTTATTATCTATTTCCATAGATCAGAAGATTTGTAGGCTTGGCTGGATCTTTACCTTGACTCTCACTAGGCAGAAATCAAGATGTTTGCTAAGGTTGCATTCTTTTCTTTTTTTTTTTCAAGTTGTACAACATAAGTTTAATGAACATCCATCATCTCACATAGATACAAAATTAAATAGAATTTTTTTCCTTGTGATGAGAACTCTTAGAATTTACTCTCTTAACAACTTTCACATATGACGTATAACAGTGTTAATTATATTTATTGTGCTGTGCATTACATCCCTAGTACTTTTCTTTTAAACATTTTTTATTGAGTTATGGTCATTTTACAATTTTGTGTCAAGTTCCAGTGCAGAGCACAATTTTTCAGTTATACATGAATGCATTCCCTTCTGAAAGCTCTAGGAGAGAATCCATTTCCTTGATCATTCAGGAAGCTGGAAGAATTCAGTTCCTTGCAGTTATTGGGCAGAGGTCTCACTTCCTTGCTGACTGTCATCTAAGGGCCATTCCCAGTTTCTAGAGACAAAACACATTCTTTGGCTCATGACCCCTTACCATTTTCAAAACTAGCAACGGTGATCAAGTCCTTTTCATTTCACATATATCTGATACTCTCTCTGACTCTTCTGCACCCCTCTTCTACTTTTAAAGACACGTGTGATTACATTGGGCCCACCTGGGTAATCCAGGATAATCTCCTGGATTTTAAAGTCCATAATCTTAATTCCATCTGTAAGGTACCTTTTGTCATATAACACAGCATATACACAGGCATAACACGAAGGAATGAAGATCATGGCCAGGGTGTGGGGTTGAAGGGGATGGCAGTTTTAAAAATCCTGCTTCCCACAAAGGGTTGCTCTTTCTCTGAAGAAATTGACTCTTTTTTTCTGATCCACTACCAGGTAGCCTCAATCTGATACACCAATGTAAATGTGTTTCTCAACTGTATCACCTTAGCCTGGTGCTAGGTACTTCAGTCCCTGGGTCCCCAGGGAGGGAAAGAGGAGCACTAGTTCCCAGATTTCGCCCTATCTTGTGCTCAGGACCAGATGCCCTGCTGAGAGGAGCCCCTCCCTGCCTTTGGATGACCCCATGGCTTTCTGCTTCAAGTTTCAGGAGGTTCGCTGCAGTATGAGGCTGACGAAGCAGCAGAGGAGGAATCTCTCTTCCCCGTGCTACCTGGCCAGGAGACTAGTCCTGAGTCCCCACTGAGTGAAAACATCTTTGAGACCAAGCCACTTAACCCCATCCTGGAAGATGACTGCAGCTTGACTCATGGCTTCCCCACACAGGAATCTTTTATCTTGGCCTCCTGTGCCTCAGAGAGCCATTCCCACTGGGTGCATACTCCCATCGAATGCACAGAGCTGGACCTGCGAAAATTTTCCAGCTCTGCTTCCTATACTGGAGCTGAGACCTTGGGGGTGAACACAGCTGAAAACTCTGGAGACAGGCTGGAGCTCACTGTGTCCTTTGAAGTCCCCAGCCCTTAACTCTACTGAGGTGAGCTGGAAAGTTAGGGCAGAAAGACCAGAGATTGGGGACCTCCCCCACAGAATTCTCCTCTAGAGGACTGTTGTTCAGTGGGGCTAGGAGTGAAGAGCCAGCAAATTAGGAACATTGGTTGATGGAGGGACAACAGTGGTAATGCTAATCTTTTGAGCCAGTCACTCAGACATCATGTATCTGGGCCTACAGTTGTCAAGGAACTGGCCAGGTTGACATGACATCAGTTTCTCTATCCTGGCCTTGTGCAAGCTCTCTCAGGGCCCCACTGTTTAATAGTCAGATTCAGTTATCTCCCATCATGTGTACAAACACCAAGGCACAGTGGAAAATATAAAAGCCTTGGCATCTGGCAGCCCTATATTTCAAATCTACCTCCATTCCTTAATGCTATGTGAAATTTGTGTAAATTACTTCACCTCTCTGAGCCTCAGATCCTTAATTTGTAGAAAGTAGGAAATACTACTTACCTTATGTTGTGAGGGTTGAATGAGAAATGCACATGCTAGTGCTTTTTACAGTGTTTAATGCATTAGAGTTGTTTAAAACATGTTATTTTTTCTTTCCTTCCCTCACCCACAGTCACAATTTATACATGCCTTCATATATGCTACACTCATCTAGTCTTCATAACATCCCTTTGTGGTAAGCAGTTCAGAGTTTGTTAGCCTCATTTTATAAAGGCAGGAACTGAGATGCAGAGGGGGAAAGTGATTTGTTCAAAGTTACAGAGCATTTTAGTGGCCAAACTGGGCTACAGCCCAGGTTTTAGAGCCCCAATTCAGAGCTTGTCCAACTCTATCAATGTGACTATTCCATAACCAATGTTACTTTCTCAAAAGCTTAAGTAGCATGGGGCAGTATGAGGCATGAGGGTAGATTCCTATTTTTCAACTAACGAGCTATTTTCACCACCCATTTCCATATTTCCCCAGCTATGATATTGTCCAGGTCCCCCAGTGACTCCCACTCTCTAATTCTTACCTAAGGAAACGTGAAAAATATGTAGGTAAAAGCCAAGACTGCTATTAAACCTCAGGCTAGATACCTTCAACATCATCTAGTCCAACCTCCCATCCAAGTCCTCCAATCCATGTTTGATTCCCTTTTATAATAACCCCACACAGTATTTGTGTCATCTTTGCTCACATGCTTTCAGTGTCAGAGAGCTCACAACTGCCCAATGTGTATTGCAGCTATGACTGGTGGAATTGAGCTCAATGTAAAGAAAACTTTCTGTCTCCCTGTAGTAACCACCCATGGGTCCTTGGGCTCTCTTTCTTTGGCCTCACAGACCTCATCTGCTTCTGCATTTCATGATAGCCCTAAAGAAGTCTAACTAGCACCTCCTCTCTAGAAAGTACCACTTTGGGTTCCTTTAAAGTATGGAGTCTTAAAACTGAACCCAGTTTCGTGAGAAATAATGTCACCAATGTAGAGTAGGCTAGAACTGTCATCATGTCATTGCCCTAGATAAATGATGCATTTCTGCTGTTGCACCCTAACCACTGGCTTAAACCCTGTTTGTTTGCTTGTTTGTTTTTTAAGGGATGGGGAGAGGAATGAACTAGTGAGCTCACGTCATAGATTTCTAACTTGCTCTGCTCCCTCCCTAGGTCTCTTGGGCTCCTAGCAGTCCAGTCATTCTCCTCGGACTCTCCTGACTTGTTCCAATACCACAACAGCAGCAGGGGTGTGGGATGTGGTATCCACAACAGCCTATAATCTACGGATGGGACACATCCTATCCCATCCTACTAGAGGATTGATTCTTCACCACTTTCTGAAGACTGAGCAGCAGCATTTCTTGCTTTCCTATTCTAGCTAGCTGGGAAAGCCAGCTTCCCCAGCCATGGAACTACTAGACATGTTCATAGCTCAGCTTTATTATAGAGAAGAGGGAGGAGGACAATAGTGAATGTGGCAGAGTTTTACTGCCTGCATCTTTGGACAGATGAACCTGAAGAAAGAGCCTCTCAGTACTCTGTTGATACACCTATCTAGCACTTTAGGGACAAAATCAAAGTCTTCCCACTTTAAGTCCTCTGTACAGACACACCTCCCCAGTACACACACACACACACACACACACACACACACACACACACACACCACCACACACACTCGAGGGCGCTTACTTCTTACCTCCCATATATCTCTGTCTCTGTGGCTGTCG